TATATGGACTCGTTTATTATACAACTCTTTCATACGGCTCGACGATGATGATGATGATGATGATGAATGCGATCATGAGAGTATAGACGAACGGACAATATATATACGCATATTTATCTTTTATGAGCATCTGTTAAAAAAAAAAAACTTACATAACTTTTATATTCATATGTAACTTTTTCGTTTTTTTTTTTTTTCTTCTTTCCTATCTCTTATTCATCTATATGAACAAAATGAAAATAAAATAATAAAAAATCAACCATGAACTTTATTTCCTTCCTGTTCATTTTAGTTTAATGTCTACAATAAATTCTCATCATTATAATCGTGAAAAATTTTATTCAATTCCAAATATATCATCTGATCAATTAATTATAAATGATGGTTTAAAAAATCCAGCTTTTTCAAATGATAATAATGAATTATCAACAATGATTATTAATTCACCACATACAATTGTACATGTTCGTCGTTATTCAACAAATTCTTCTTCAACAACAACAAGAGTATCATCAATTATTTGTCATCATTCATTTTTATATTATTTTTGGCGTTTATTTATTTGTTTAATAACATTAATATTTGCAACATTATGTTGTCATACAATTTATCAATTTAAAATTCAACATTTAAATACATATGAAAAATTTCATAATATAACAAAAGAAAAAACATCAAAAATATGTCAATTATTTCAAACAAATTTAAATTTATATTATAAAATTCCAATTAATTATATATCATTATCAATTTTATTTATTCTTATATTTAGTCAAATTTTTTTTGAAAATTTTTCTTCGAGAAAAAAACGTACATTTAAATCATTTTGGCAAAATTTATCAATACCTATGATATTTAATTCTCATTCACATATATATCGTTTTCAATCAGCTGCTGTATTTGGTATAATAGCATTAGAAATTTTACATATATTTGATGAATATATAATGAATGGTGCTAAACATTTTCATCATGGACCATTAATTGATTTAATTATACAATTTGGTATTGGTCTTACATTAGGTTTAAGATATTTTCCAATATTATCTATATTTGAAAAAGAAAATACTTATGAAAATCGTTTAGAAAATATTATATCTTATGGTTTAGGTACAATTTATTTATATTGTGAAATTATTTTTAAAATACAATCTGATATTAATTGTGCATTAGATAATAGAAAAATATCAATTATTAAAGATACATTAGGAAAACTTCATCAAATGGGTATTAATATTCAACAATATATGTTTATAAATTTAGGTAAATATATTTTATTGAGTGAAAAAATTAAGTTTTTACTTGAGTTCTCTGTACATATTAACGAATCATATAATAGTTACGATGGCAAGTTCTATGTCAGAATATCGAATGGATGATACAAGACAAATAGTCGTTTGTAACCTGTTCAGAATAGACCCTATCGGAACTGACTCTTCCGAACTATGATTCTCTTTTGATAGAGTTAAAAGTATATTTCAGATGTTTTAAAGAAAATCTAATAAATTTTAATAGTTTTTCGTTCAATAGAATAAATGATAAATTTCATTTTTTTTTTCATGTATAGGTACTAATCGAACTGAAAAACTCAATGAAACATATATAAATACACGTTTTTGGTATAAGAATAAAATTGAAAAATATACTGAAAATTTAACATATGATGATAAATATGATGTTGAAAATGAATTAATACGTTTAAATTATTCATTAGAATTAAATAAACAAAGTATATTATATAATATATTAAGAAATGCACCATATTATTATTTTATTGTTTATTTAACTGTTTGTTTAACAATATTATTTATTAATATATTTCGTGGTAAATTAAAAAAATCTTCATCATTACAAACATTACCACATTGGAAATATGTTAAATATAATTTATTAAAATCATTAAAAATTTTTAATTCTTATCAACAATATCAATATTCAAAATTATTTTATTGTTTAAATTTTTTAATAAATTTTTTTAAAAAATATATTTATTCAATACGTTTACATTTTCGTTATTCAAAATTAATTATATGTATATATACAAGTGCATTTACACTTGTTTATTATTTTACATTTTGGATTCAAGATCATACATATATATTAACAAAAAAATTATTATTATTTCTTAATTTAATTCTATGTGGTTTAGCTGATTTATCAAAAGATTTATGTCATAATTTAAATTTATATGATATTAATCAAGATATTAAATATATTTGTTTATTAACAGCATTTATAACATGTTTACAATTATTTTTTGGTTTAAAACATTATCAAATACAAATGTGTAATGCATATAAAGGAATATTTATTGATATTCCGAAACCAAAAACTATTTCATCAGTATCAATTATCAGTAGATCAATACATTATCCAGGACGATTTATGGGTATATTTGTTAAATTTTCTATTGTGTTGTTTTATATAGAGAAATAGTTCATATTAGAACTTGTCGAGTACAAAATTTTCAAATTCAAATTCGATCAATAATACTTTCAAATGAAAATTTTGAAAACATGATCTACGAGAAGTGTTAAAGTGTAGGAATATAAAATTGAACTCCTTCCATTGACCACTGATCGCACATCGATAACGTCTTGTTATAATATATGAACTACTTATTGCATTTCTCAAGGACTGAATAAAAGAATAATGAATAGAAGAATTTCGTGATGATTAGTAACAGTAGCTATATTGTGTTTGACATGTTAAATTTAGAAGGATTGCTCTCTAATAGCCGAAATTGAAAAGTCACCTCGAAGATACGAGATACTTTTTTTTTTAAATCAGTTTTTGTTATTCGACGCGTAATGCGCTCTATATATTCCTTACATAAGTAGAGCACGTTAGGTCTGAAAATTTCGAACTCAATTCCAGGACTTATCTAACAGGTTCTTATTCACATAGTACTCAATGAACATGAACACTCGGTATTCATATTTAATAATATACTCAATCAGAAATAAATGCTTACTGAAGAATAGAATTAGGTTTGTAAATGAGTAGTCGTGTAGGTCGATACATCGATCAGTGGCAGCAATAGTTAAATGTTTTGTTAGTTTCGTAAAGGTTTGAAATAATAATGGGAGAAAATATATGAAGACAAGAAAAACTTATCCTCGATGTCGAAAATTTGCAAAAATCTACGAACTTTAGATGATCGATTTACATCTCTATATATTAGAACAAAAACTTAAACGTTTATTAAGGATTTGAGAAAATGCTTCAAAAATTTGGAGTACGGGTATATTTCAGCCCCTTCAGATATAATAAGTGAATAAGTCAGAGATAGAGATGTGCAAATTATGATTTTGTTATATCGTCACCTTACTGTATATGACATATTTGTTTATTCTAATTCTATATCCCCATTCTGCAAAGTTCGAATCAAAGAAATTTTTTCAAAAATGATGATTTTTGGTTCTTCAAGTATATTTTTTGAAACAGATAAAAGTATATAGATCTATCCTAGGATCATTTCGGCATGTACTTACGATAATGATATGTTAAATGAAATGAATGTTCGCAAAAAAAGAAAACTCTAATTTTTTTTCAAAATTGAACTAAAACCTATTCTATATTATTAAGAATATCTTTTAATAAGAAAATTCATATTATCTTAATTTATTATTTTTAGGTTCATTAATATACAGTTATGGATTTTTATTTTTATTTATATCAATATTTTATATACTTTCTCGTTATATATTTTATTCATTAATTATATTGGAATTTATTTCTAAATTAATATTACCAATGATAATATTCTTTTTATTTCAATTATTATTTGTACGTCTTTTATGTAAATTATTATTTATAGAAAATAATCATTTACTTGTATTACGTAATCTTCGTCTTTATTATACATTTTCATATTTTAGCTTTTTTTTTGATTGTTTTCTTGGTTTTATAATGTGTTTATCACGTATATCAAAAGGAATTTTTTGTACATTAATTTTTTTTGCACGTCTTGATTATTCATCATATGGACGAGGTTTAGAAATGTATGATTCATCATATGCATCTTATGTTAGTTTTTTTCATATTGAAAAAAATCAACGACATCCTGTTTTAAATGTATTTATTGATATTATAAGACAACGTCTTATTGATATAAGAAAATTAAAATTAAAATTAACAATGGAAAATATTAATAATACATATGAAAATGAAAAATTATCTCAATTAAATCGTTTTCGTTGGGCATTAGCATATACATTAATTCATAATGAACAATTAAAACGTTATAGAAAACATCGTTTATGTTCTATAAAAACTAATCAATCAAAAACATTAGAACGTATATTTGATAAAATTGGTTTATCACAAACATTACCAAGAAAATATTAAAATAAAAAAACAAATTCTTTTTTTTTTTTTTTGTTTCTTATTTAGAAAAAAAAAACCGGTGAATTTCTTTTGTCGTGTTTTTCTTTCGCTTTGCTTATTTAGTATTGTATTATATAAATAAACAGCAACAAATAAAAGACTCAATTAGTTCATAGTCATGAAGTATAGAGATCAGATTTCAAAACGTCCGATATACTTATGCAATAATTAGATGTGAATGAATGATATTTAAATAATGTATCAAACAAAAAAAAAAAAATAAGAACACCGAAGGATCAGTATATAGTTACATCAGACAAGCATGCAATAGTCGATATTCATTTATTCAATCCTTGATGAATTGTTCCTATGTCCTCATATTATTACCTTGACCATTATTCTTACATATAGATAGCCTTTGGTCATCTTCAAATGACCTTTTAACAGAAAACATCAAATAATATATCTTTAATGAGCACATCTGTATGATCATTTGTCTTTTTCTTTTCTTCTTTTTTTGAAATATTATCGGTCATGGTTGATTGCTCTCTTTCTTTTCTTTTTTTTTCTCTTCATTTCTCTTTAAGGTTATAAATGAGTTCATTCGATCATCGAATGGTTCAAACGACGACAAACTCATTTTTTGAGATATATATATTGTGTAATCGGAAATGATAAATATAATTCAACAACGACTTACATCATTTTATTTATTTATTTTAATCATCTTTTTATTAATAGTTCAACCTAGTTTTAGTAATAAAATAGTTGATTTAATTCAAACAATAAGAAATAAACCTACTAATGATAATCGTTTAAAAAATAATTTAGGTATTTTGTTGTTTTTAATTTTTGCTATTTCAAAAATTATTTATTTATTCAGTATTAGAATTTCGTGATGTTCTACAAGCAATTCAAGATCATTTATATAATACAAGTATTTCAAGTTAATATTTTTTTATTTTTTTCTATTTAAATATTAAAATTTTTATTTTTATTATATATATTATTTTTTTAGCTTGTCTTCCTGATTTTCAATTTTATAATGGTTCATGTTATTTATTATCTACAAATAAATCAACATGGTTATCAGCATCAAATAATTGTTTAAAATTACGTAATTCATCTTTAATTACATTTGAAAATTATGATGAACTTAATTTTATTGTGGAAAAATTATTAAAACCATTACGTATTAATCAAGCATTTATTGGTTTAAATGCAAGTGATATTGGTCAATGGTATTGGCTTAATGGACGAACATTTGCAGATACAGAATTTAAAGATTATTTTTATTCTTATCGACCAGATACATCATATTGTGGATTAATTAAACTTGTTAATAATAGAACTAAAGTTGCTATTGAAGGAAGAGATTGTTTTAATGATGAAGAACGATTTATTTGTAAATATGGTAAGAAATAATAAAAAATAAACAGAATATATTATTATCATTAATTAAATAAATTTTCTAATCAATAAAATGTTAGGTTGGTTTGAACTTTTATTTTTCTATCAAAATTTATAAATAGATCTTGTTAATAGATAGTAGAGTTCTATACTTGAGTAATGTGTTCATATTCGAGTGAATCTTTAGAATAAACATCAAGTAAGAAGTTCTTATCAATTGAGATTTCCGTTTCTTTTCAAAAAAAAACAAAAAAAAGTCGTTAATACTTCTGAAAGACAGAAAGTCTTGACATGACATTATATGCTATGTTAGAAGAGAAGAGTGCGGACAATGATGGTTTATAGTAACTAGAGAATTTTTTTGTCGTGTAGAAAAATTTCTCAAAAAAATTCGATTTCATTTCTAAACATTCGAATATAATCAACATTATAAACTTTGGTTTAAGGTGAATTTAAATATGATGCTTGTTACAGTAAAATTCACTCACTTTTTACTTAGATAGATTTGCTATCAAGATAATTTTTTTAATAAATATTGATCATGACTTAATTTGTTAACTGAATAAATGAATATCAAAATCAAGTACTAACACGACTAATGTACCATAAAGAAAGACAATGATCGTCTCTGGCGCGCATATAAGAAGAAATATTAGCGCGGGATAGTTACTTTTCAAAACATAAGTCATACTGATTGTGTTACAGGATAATGGAGAATGTAGGATGGGAAAATTTTCGAACCTGAACCCGATGATCTCTACAGGACAGTATACACTTGTCCTCTGGACACATTAATCTTCAGATTGAACAAACAGAGGCTAAAGAGAAAATCGCGCGAATTTATATTCATTTTTTTGAGATCGTTCTGGATTTACAACAACGTCTTGGCGAGACTAACAAAAATCTAAAATCAGGCACGTACAGAAGGGAGGGGCATGGGGATCGCCCTCCTCCTCAGGACTGAAAACGCCTGTGAGGGGGGGGGGGGGGGGTACAAGTAGACGTTTTTTCACCAGTAAATTTTTTAATTTTCCCATAATGGGCCCTCCTCTCAGAAAATTTCTGGGTACATGCCTGTCTAAAAGGTTTTACCTCTATGGATCTATTGCTAGGTGATAAATCAAATGATCTGTCGAATATTTTAAAAGTTTCAGTTAGAAAAGTATGTTCGTATGTCGAAAGTCTGCTTTTTGATTTTTTGGTATATACCGAAAGCACACTCGGCTTCAAACGTTCATAGCGACAAACTCTTTTAAACTTTTGTTGATCTTACCGAGACGTTCTTGTGTATCCGGTAGGAGCTCAAACGATGGATGTCAGTTTGAATGATTTTTTTTTTAAATGAGACAACAGTTCGTGCTCTCTAGAACATCTATATCAATTGTTTTCATTTAATAAGATCCTGTATAGCCGTCTTTGGGAAAGATCGTACAGATAATTATATCTATTGTTTTTTTTGTTGAAATATTGTTTATTTTAGTTCAAAATCATTGTTCTGCAAAAGAACAAGTATGTGGTAAGGGTGGTGAATGTATGAATGTTGGTTCAACATATCAATGTCGATGTAATTTTTTATATCATGGTCAAAAATGTGAGAAATGTAAGTTATTATTAAATAACTTATATTATAAAGATTAAAAATTTTTTATTCGTATTTGTTTTAATATTTTCTAGTTAGTTCAGAAGCTATTCAATCAATAATTGCTTTAATTATTATTATTCTCATGGGTTTAATTATTTGTATTTTGAAATTTAATATTTGTTCACAATGTAAATCAAAAAAAAAGTATGTTTATTTAAAATAAAAAAAAAATTTAATATGTAGATTTTTCTATTCTCTTCTTAGAAATCATTCAATTGATGATTTATATAATGAACAACAAATGATTTTAGGTAACAAAAAAAATAATTTTATTTTGTTTTATATTTAATTTTCTTTTTATTTCTTTTTAGAACGACATAAGAATAAGAAATCTATGATTAATTAGTGGTTTAAATATATTGATACTTTTTATTCGTTTTTTTTTGAATTTTAATTAATTAGAATATATTGATTTATTAACTATTCCAAAAAAAATAAAAGAAATATGAATGAATTTCTTTTCTTTTTGTTTTGTCTAAATAAATTTTGTTGATAAATATGAATTTAGATATCAAATATAAAATAAAACATGACAATATTATATTTTGTCAAATAAACATACATTAAAAATATGTTTTTATTTATTGTATTAAAAAGAAAAACATTTGAATAACATATGTACGTGATATTCAATTGAACGACAATGAATATATAGATAAAAATAGACGCAAACAAAAATATATGATTATTATTTTTTTTTTTTCTAGATTTATTTATTTAGAAAGAAATTTTTTTGCATTAAAAAAAAACAACTATTCTTCTTTATATTATGTTTTAATTGAATAAAATTAATATTTTGTTTTCATCGACATATAATTAATATTCAAGGCTAAGAGAATCTTTTTTTTTTCGTCTAGGTAATGCAAAAAAAAACAAAAATAGAAACCAAAATACATTAGCTAGATCGTATTAATTTTCTAGCCATTTATCATAATCAATATCGTATTCTATCATTGTCATTTTCTGTTATTGATTTATTTTGTATATTTTCTTTTTCGATCAGCTAATTGACTATGAATTCAATTTTCATTATTATTTTTGGTGATATCAACAAAAATAGTGTGACAATAATCAGAAGTATGTTTATTTTCGTTTGAGTTAATCACAATGAATTGTCAGGCTGAGTTATATATATATATATATATATATATATATCTATATCCACAAAATAAAGAGAAAAAAGAACAGGAAGAGGAAGAGGAAAGAAATGGTTTTATGGTAGAAAACAAATATTGTAAGAGAGAAGGCATACTGACTATCAACATTAGATATTCATGAAGAACTAACGGAAGACGAACGACAAAGAAAATGAGACTACTAAATGAATTTTCTTCTAAAAAGAAAGCATGGATAGGAATAAGGAAACATTTTCTTTTTCTTTTTTTTTTTTGCCTCTCTTACATTCTAATCCTATCAATAATGCAAACATGGTCAATTGATTTGAAGTATATGAACTTTTCTCATTGGTTTTTTTTAATTTTTTTAAATCAAAACATAATGTAGTTAGATGATAATTTTTGTTTTATGTCTTCTATTGAGATAAAGAGATAATCATGATTTATTATTTTTTTTTTTGGGTTAGTTCATATCTATTATCATAGATATTCTCTTTCGAAAATAATCATCGATGTTCTTTTTATGTCTCATTTATACTCTATTGTAATTTTATCAACTACTTATTGATAATGTCTCCAGCTAATCGAAGATACGAAGAGCACTAAAATACCTAAAATGAGATCTAATATATATATATATTCGTTTGTCGTGCATACGCATATATATATATATATAGCAAGGCGATGAGTTTCGATGATGACAATGTGTTATCGATTAAACGACAGGAACATAGCGAGAAAAAAAAGACGATAGAAAGAAATACTTGATGCAAAAAAAAAAGAGATTATGGCTCGACTAGAATAATATATTAATGGGTGATAGCATCTTATCCAAGGCATTTTGACGTATAAGAACATGACAGAACAAAACAACACAGCAAAACTCAATATAGATAAATAGACAGACGACAGGCAAAGGGACAGAGCGCTATGAGACAAACTACATTTACTATATAGCAACAAAAAAAAAAAATATCTGTCTTTTTTTCTTTGAGATGAATTCCAGAGTAATATGACAATTAGGAAACTTGTGTTAGCCTTGAAAGTATTTTCTATTTTTTTTTTGTGTATGATAGACAGTTTATTTTACAGTAAGACTGATTGTCGAAACAATCAAACGTGCCACATAACATAAGTAATATTGTCATTTTTCTATTTTTACAGTCATACGTTTGGCTTAAGTCTTTAGAAGTAGACAAGGCCATTAAGTCTTTTTTGTTTCTATATTAGACATAATAGATTACAGAGAAAAAAAAATATAAAAAAAAAAAAAAACAATAATAACAACGATGGGTAATAGTTCGACATCATCGACAACAACTAATACAATGTCGAGTCCAAGTCAAACGCAAATTGATGCTCAAGTTACTGCCTTTCTTGAACGTGCAAAAGAAGATTTTGATTTAAGATATTCACAACCAGCTAAACAAACAGCTAAATTAGATGATTTTAAATTACAACGTACTGTTGGTACAGGTTCATTTGGTCGTGTTATGATTGTTCAACGTGGTAATCAATCATTAGCATTAAAAGTTATGGAAAAACAAACAATTGTTAAATTAAAACAAGTTGAACATACATTATCTGAAAAAAAAATTTTACAAGCAATTAAATTTCCATTTATTGTTAATTTAATTCATTCATTTAAAGATAATTCACATCTTTATATAGCATTAGAATTTGCTAGTGGTGGAGAAATGTTTACACATCTTCGGTAAGAAAAATTAATAATATAATTTTTTTTTTGTTTTTTGTTTTCTCTTATAGTTTTTTTATTTGAGTAGAAGTGTAGGTAAATATTCAGAAGATCAAACACGTTTTTATGCAGCTCAAGTAGCATTAGCTTTTGAATATCTACATTATTTAAGTTAGTTTAATTTAAATTTTATTTAAATTTTTGAAAATTATTCATTATTTTTTATTGTATATAGATATTCTTTATAGAGATTTGAAACCAGAAAATATACTTTTTTCAGCTGATGGATATTTAAAAATTACTGATTTTGGTTTTGCTAAAGTTGTTCGAGATCGAACATATACATTATGTGGTACACCAGAGGTAAATATAAATGTAGTAATATCATATCATGATAATGGTCTTCTATAATTCTATTTTGCAATCTGGAAAATATGTATACACATCAATGCATTGATAGCTATCAAACAGAAAATATTTTAATGAGATTGAAACCTTTTTCATGAAAATATTATCATAGATTCGAACTCACAAATAGTTTGTAAAATTCTAAAATGTTATGATTTTTTTTCTCATTAACAAAACACAATCATCAAAACTAATTTTTAAAAATTATCTATTAATTTTAGTATATTGCTCCAGAGATAATTTTATCACGTGGTTATAATAAAAGTGTTGATTATTGGGCATTAGGTGTATTAATGTATGAAATGGCTGCAGTAAGACAACTTTTGATAATTTTCTATTAAATCATTTTTGATTTTTGTTTATTTTCAAACAAAAGGGTTTTCCACCATTTTATGCTGATCAACCAATACAAATATATGAAAAAATAGTTCAAGGAAAATTTAAATTTCCATCACATTTTTCAAGTGAACTTAAAGATTTAGTTCGTAATTTACTTCAAACAGATTTAACAAAACGTTATGGTAATTTAAAAAATGGTACAAAAGACATTAAATATCATAAATGGTTTTCAACAATGAATTGGATTGCTCTATTTGAAAAACGTATTAAACCACAACATGTACCTAAACCTGATAAAGATCATTTTGAAAAATATGATGAAAAACCTATGACACATTCTTCAATAGAACTTTATCCAGTTGAATTTGACAGTTTTTAAATTAACAAACAAATAGTTAAAATGAAAATAATTACATCGCTAATTTTTTTTTGTATATTGTCAATGTTGCTATTGCTTCATATTGAAAAAATATCAATTAGTGAAAAAAAAAATACATTAGTTGTTGCTTTATGCTTTGCTCAAATCTCATATGTGATTGACTTTAAAAAATAATGTTTACTTCTTATATATTAACAAAAAAAAACCAATTTATCGTTATCAATGTTCTATTTTGAATGATATTTAAAATATTTATTAAAAACAAAAAAAAAAGTTTGTATTTTAATATTTTTCTGTTCAAAAAAAAAAAATTGAGTAAATGAGAGACTTCTTAAAATGTTTTTATTTTATTACAGATAAATAGTTGTGTTGTGTAAGGAAGTGTAGAATAAAGAAGAATAAAAAAAAAAAAACAAATATTTGCAATGGTTAATGTTCACTCCATCTGTCAGTATAGGTCATCGAATTCTTGACTAAAAATTATTGAACCCACTAAGTATACTTATCTGAAATCTCTTATTATCCTAGAACAAAACCAATCTGACTAAAGATTTTAAGAAATATGTGTTCAAGTCTTAGCAGTTTACAGTAAGGATTTTAGTCTAAGATATTCAAATGTTCATGAGCTATGATAACATCAAGAGTCAGAAAGTAGATCTTCATGTGATAAGGATGTCGTAAGATTTTGGATTGATTTTTAAATGCACTCAAGATCTGTTGTCGCAACAGTGTCTCTTATATTTTTCAAAAAGTAATTCGAAAATAAAAATTTGCGCTTTGCTAAATTGTAGAGCATGATTTTTTTCTTGCATGTAAAAATTTTCCAAGCTTTCTAGCATATGAATTGGCTATATAAATGTTTTACACAAAAACAGGAAAAAGAATAGAAACATGCAAATAAAGTTTAGTCTTGAAATCTAAATTCCTTTCTTTCTTAATAAAACAATATAGAAAAATAAATCTTAAAAGAGCATGATTAATTTGATGAATAGTATAGAAAGGCTATTTAATTATCATCTCCATTTTCGATTTTGTATATTTATAGTTATTTTCTTCATTCTTGCGCATGAATGATAATGCTACGGATTCTGTATAATTTCCATGAATAGTAACATTTCAATTAGAAAGTGTCTTTAGAAAAAATAATGATTTTTTTTTTTGCGTAGGCTAATAATCTTTTTTTATATGTAGATGCATGGTATATTATTATAAGAATTTATCTTAATATTCAATATATATATGAAGACTAACTATGTTGTTTGAGATATTACGAAAATGAAATTCATTTTATTCAAGCTACTTTATAATATCAATATATTCTTATTTATAGTAGAATGATTATGTTCTTGGTTTTTCTTTTTGTTTATTATTGTTAGTGTATGCGGGTGTTGTTTGTTCTTTTATTTAGA